AAATCGTGAAAGGCTGCACGAGATTGAAAGAGCTCCCCAACATTTCCACGAGTCAACAAACTCTTCGCCAAGAGTATTCACTAGAGCGGCGTAGCCATGGCTAGGATACTGCGACGCATGCTATTTGGGTCTGATGTGCAGCAAAGCACCGCGCAGACACCGTTTTGCAGTGCTATGCGGACATTTTCAGGATCATCGTCAATCAGGAGGGTGCTCTTTCTACAGATGTGTGCTGCATAGCAGTGTGATAGCTCTTCAACCGCCGATGACATGTGTGGCTATAGAGAATGCATTGAGGTAATTGCATCAAGTTAGGCACCTACTTGCTTGCCACTTCGAGCTCCATCACCGGAATACTTCCAGTTGCCATCACCACCTCGAATAACGATCTGACACATGCAATGTTGAATAAATATATGATGCAGATGAGTAACCTTATGAGCATCATCAGGAAATAGTAAGACCAAAACCTTTGAAATTAAAGTGACCTGCTCGTGCTCAGAATTAATGTGGAAAAATCTCATTTTCAACCAACCTGGGAGGAAAAGGTTACCACTGCGACATGAATTCCAGAACCAAGTGCCTCGTCGACAACTTCTTTGATGCAAGGCCGGACTCTTGACGCCAGCGCTGCTGCTGAGCCGGTCCAACAGCCCTCAGTGTGCACATCAATCAATGTGAGATCGAAATCGATTGCTAACAACTTAATACCTGCTCTCCGGAAGGTGCTCATTGAGCCGGACCGCATCCTCGGCGCTCGCAGAGCACCTGCAACCTTGCAGCGCTGCGCGCAACGTAGCCTTGAACCTTAGGAAGTGTGAGAGGAGATCGACCAACGAACCAAAGAAAGCGCGCCAAAATTTTAATGCCCCAAGCAAAGCCGGCCAGACAAGAGCATAAGGAGCGATCGACAGGGCTGCAAGAATAAATAGCAGCTCTAGCTCTCTCTCTCTCTCTCTCTCTCTCTCTCTCTCTCTCTCTCTCTCTCTCTCTCTCTCTCTCTCTCTCTCTCTC